GTTTCTGCCATTCGCGTCGGACGGTTGGGGCTCCTGCAAACTAGTTGGGGCCGCCTACTTCCGGAAGCCATGACTGCTGGCAGCTTTGGAATCGACCTCGGGTAACACACCCTCAGGGACACCAGCAACTCGAGCACCGCAAGCCAAAATGCGGAAACGAGCTTGCTGTCCAAGCGCGAAGCTATATAGCTATAGGAGCAGCAGCACCGCCAGGTTGGCAACCCCAGGTTTCCTGTGCTTGAAAGTGTGCGTAATTGTTGGTAATTTCCGCGACTCGGGCGCGCAGCGCATGGTTTATGCAAACGGAATGTTTCGACCTCTCCTTGTACAACTGGTTGAAGGAAGCGGGCTGTCAAGTGTAAGTGAAGGTATGCTCCGCAACACACAAAGCAAACAAGCCGAGGAAGCCCACGGCCTTCAGACCAAACCAAAATAGTTTAAGCCCGGAAGCCTCCGCTGCTACAGCCCGCAGCAATCAGCAGACCGTCTAACCGTGTAGGGTGAATTGTTTTTGTTATCGAGAGGGATTAAGCTAAATTGCCAGAATATAGGGAAGGTTTCATTTAACTGGCTTGTCTCTTCATTCCAAAGAACCCAATCCGCGCCTCGCAGCCGATTGTTTGAGGATCGACCTGGTTGCAGCAGCTGCAAGGCCGATACTGTTTCGGGCTCTCGTCGCCCACCTAAGTTTGGGGGTCCGCTTCTCAGTAGCAACGGAAAAATAATTAGCCCTCTCGTCTGCGGGTCTACTCGGGAGCTTGGCCGGTAGTTGGAGACTCGAGCACGGGATTCCCAACTGCGTTGCTTCTAAAGGGCTTAGAAACGCAGCTCGGCGTTGCACAAGACACATGGAGTGCCACACTGCGTGCTATGTCAGCAGGTTTCTTGCACCGACGTGTGCATGCCCGCCTGGTTCTCCTAGCTGCTGCACTCGTCGCAGAAACCCTACGCATGTGAAACATTTGAATCACGGAGGAGCGTGTCGAACCTGGAAGCCATATGAAAATCTTTACGGAACTGAAGCCGAAGTCGCGGTAGGCGTGACATGACGACAACGAGCATAACGACCAAGACAACCTCGACCACCACCCCTATCAGGACCACCACGACGACCAGGACGACCGCGAGAAGAAAAACCTTCTAGACCTTATAAAACCCTTATGGACAGCCTGTAACCTGCATATCATTCCAACTCCGATGTGTCCCCTTTTGCAGGCCTCGGCTTCGCCGAGGATGGCGACCTGCGCGTCTTCCGCTGTTGAAGTGAAACCGATTGTTTGCAAAGGGAGTTTTAGGTTTGGGATTTATAGGGTTCAAGGGGTTCGGTGGTTGGGGACGTGTAACCGACTCCTTCAAGCAGTAGCTTTGGGGTTGCGGTTTAAGGGTTAGGGTTCGGGCTTTCGGCGATCACACTCGGACAACCCAGCCACGTCACGTGTTCTGAGGTCGGCTGGGTGACAATGTCAGGGGCCGGTCTTCCCAACTGGTTCCAAAAACCTACTAAAGCCGGAATAAGTACCAGTCCCAACAAGAGTCGTGTGGGAAGGGGCACATAAGCCTGATAAGTTTTTTCACCATCAACGCTGTTATTGCAGCTGTCCCATGGAAGGTCAGGGGTAAAACGATAAAACATACGAGCAGAATACGCTGGGCCACGCAGAGGCGGGAAACCTCAGGTACGGAACAACTGGCATCCCAAAATCCTCTCGAATTCGTGAATCCAAGCCGCGACAATTTGTTTTCAATTGAGATAAAAAGATGTGGCATGTAACAGCCATCACGATCTCAGCAGTCCCCCTGTGACTTACAGCACTACAGTTGAAGCAAGCTCCTCTCGGACGTCCTTGTTGCGTCAACGGTCAGGCACCCTCATTGGCTCAGTTGTGAATTAAGACGACCAGGCGCACAGCATTGTGAGTTCAGGCCGGCCCCATCGGTTGTCCAGCAGAATCAGTTCCATCAAGAACATGATCCCAATGTGTAGAATTGTGATCATCGATTGCCTAATAAGACAGGAAATCCAAAGGCAAGAGGGAAAACAAAAAAACAATACAAAAATCAAAGAAAAATCGAAAAAAATCGAAATCATCGAGGCACCAGAAAAATCACAGAAAAAAATCAAAGGGGAACTCGAGGTGGGGGACCCCAGAGGCGGCCTTTGGGCGCGGTTGTTGGGTTCGATTTTGCCGATTTTTCAACGATTTTATTTCGAATTTCAAACGGTGAATTCGAACAAAATCGGGAAAAATCAAATAAAAGAATCGAAATCATCGAGGCGCCAGACAAAAATCGAATAACATCGAAAAAGAATCAAAGGGGCTCTCGGGGCGGGGGACCCCAGAGGCGGCCTTTGGCGCGGGGGTTGGGTTCGATTTTTTTCCGATTTTATTTCGAGTTTTGTTTTGTCTTATTAGGAATCGAGGATCACAAGTGTAGAAAACAATGCCAGCGCGACGATTGTTACCAATCTTTTCCGCATTTCAGGGAGAGGCGTGCAATTGATTTTTCATCAAATTAGGCATCGCAGTACCTGCAGCTGACAGAGATCGGTGTCATTCCTAATCAAATATCCGTACACGGAGATCCTCACTCCCATGACATAGTGATAGTGGCAATGCATAAACTCCATGTAGTTTGCTATTTTCTTGCTCTCCCTCACCGACGGGCGCTCTGCATGGAAAGCCATTCATGGCCTCCCACCTTCAGAATGGGCTCAACCCAGATTCCGCTCATCCTGGCTTCATTGTGTCGCAACCCAACTCCAGGTAAATGCATGCACCAAAGTAGAACAATAGGTACTTAAGTCCAAAAAGGGTGGTCTCGCAGGCCCAGGGCTTCGGTGCACGCTGTGTGTCCTGAAGTGGAACCTCTAAACCTGCAGCCTGAAAAGTGTTTACTGGCGAAGGCCGGAAGTGTTGTGACGAAGACCGCTCTGCCGAACTACTCGTCCGCAAGACCAAGATCGAGAAATGGCTTGAGCTCGGCCCACCGCAGAAAAACTGCAGACCTCAAGTCTCACGAGCTATACGACTCTATTCACAACTCGAGCAGTTAGATTCACACAATAAGAAACCCCAAAAGCACCAATAATGGCAAAATAATCAGCGATTCATTAAAGGTTGCAACCCGGATATAGTGACGGTGCGTTTACTGCAATCATGCCCGTCAGCCTCACTGGCAGCAGGGGCAAAGCCCATGAGCCACCTGGCCAACGCCAGCCATATCTTCGGCTGTGACCAAGCCGTCGTCGAGGAACGGCGAAATTTGCTGCTCTTATGTGCTCTCGTCCTCAATGACAGAGGCCGACACCAGGGAAGCATCGTGCAGATGACTTTCGCGGTAAATAAAATCTAGGTCACAGAGATGATCCAGTAACATCACACCGAGCTCCGCCCGTCGCAGAATTGCCTCCACTTCAGAACTCGCCTCATCGAGCACGATGTGCTTGTCCTGGAGGTGGCCGCAAGTCCAAACAAGGAACTGCTGCACAGGCTGTCGCTGGAAGCCATTTGGCCGAAGTCGAACTTGTTCATCCGACATGTACGTGCGGATATGAAGGTCCTCAAATCGCACACCTCGTCGATAGCAGCAATTGCCTTGGCCTTCTCCTCTTGATACAGGACTGTTGTGCTTGGCCGCATGTTCCGCATCCATGTCGGCCAGCTCGATGTCTGCCTGCGCGAGCCCGATCTCGCTTCCAATATTTATGATGAGGCGGTCTCATATTTCACGGGCGAATCTCTTGAAGAACCAGTTAAAAACATTTTTATAGGAGTGCCCACGCTCGAGCTTGCACGGCCTGGCACGCACCGAACTGGCGGAACTCTCGGCGACTTGCTGCAGATGGTGTAGAATCCGAGAGTGGGCTCCGCAACTCCGTGCCGCTGAACTTGGGGAAGCCACTCACGTGGACATTCTGTTCAGCACCGCAAATTTCAAGGTCGTCAGAAAGTCCTCTGGGAAGTGGTATGCGCGAACCTGTCGGAGCTTGATGGCCCGCTCCACGTGCACATCGCAGGACATCATCTTGTTGACAGAGCGACACATGCTCTCTGCCAGCAATAGCAGACGAGGGGGGGCTGAAACTCATATCCGAAAGTGCTGCTTGAGCCAAAATAAGAGCAGAAACCGACTCCTTCAACCGGTTTAGGGTTAGGGTTCGGTTCAGGGTTAGGGTTCGAGCTTAAGGGTCTCTGAAGCTGATTTCTTCACACGGCTGCTTCAAGGTTTCGCGTGGACTTCCGACCAGCTGGCACAACGGGGATGAGCAATGGGCCTCTATGCGAAAGGGATGTGAAAAGCTGCATAGCGAGGCCCTCCTAGCTGCTAGTTTTGCTGAGTTTTTCAAGCAGCAAAGCTTCAAATCATGGAGTCTTCCCAGGCCGCTGTTTTGTTGTGTTAGTGCGACCACTCTAACCGGAACTTGAGCCCCCGGCTAATGTGTGAGGAGTGCTCAATGATCACGCAAAAAAGCGCATGTGAAGCATGACCATGGAATCACCAACAGTGGCCAAAGAAGACCAAGATCAAGAAAAAGAAGCACACCCATAACCCACAACAACGACAACACCACCACCCCACCAGCACCAAAACCACCACCACCACCAACAACAACAACAAGAAGAATAACAAGAACAAGAACAAGAAGAAGCAACAGCAACAGCAACAACAAGACCAAGACCAAGACCAAGACCCAGAACACCACCACCTCCAGCAGCATCATCAACAACAAGAGCAACTAAAACAGCAACAGCAACAGCATTAGCGACAAGAAGAAGACGAAGCATACGAAGAATACACGAAGATATCTGGAGGCCAAACTGCACCACCACCACATCGCAAGAAGTCGGGAAACCGCATGGGAATCATGATCATGCGGAGCAACCCGACCCGTGTCGCAAACTCATGCTTACCATAATTGTGAGGATACAATGCAGCTTGCAAAATCAAGCTGCAAATATTTATCAACATGCCAACTTGAATGAGCTTCGGAGCAATGGCTACAGTGCCTGTTTGCCGAAGTCGTCAGCACTCACATCACATAGCCATAGCTGCGTAAGGTGCCCACTAGTGAAAACAGCAAACCCAGGCCTCTCGACCGGCGCGAGCCCCCCGAAGTGGACGTGGGATCTCTCAAGCTCTCGCGAGAGCTCGGCTTGCCGCGAGGCCCCGCGAAAAAGGTAAGTAGTCACCTGGCTGCGAAATAGAAATCTTCCAGAACTCAACGCCTACTGCCACCCGGACCTTCCGATCGCCGGATCCTGTGTCTTTCGAAGTCTGCAATCCACACATTGCTGGCCTGGCCCTTGCCTTTCATCTCCTGGGCGCAGGCATTCACTGACCTACTGCACCCCAACAGCATCTAAGAAGGAATCAGACGAGCTGAACTTCAATGGAACACCCGTTTGCTGAAGGAAGAGCGCTGCCCAATTTCAAGTCTTCTCTGCTTCCGACGCTGAGTTCCCTGGCCCTCCAAAAGTGAACCGCTCATCATGCTATGCTTCTAGTTGTGCCTGTACAATGCTAAAGTTACGTGGCCTAAGAACCTGGAATCCTCTGGGCCCTAATCAGGCTGCAAGCAGCCCCCTGAAGCTGCCCCTTCCTGCTGTGTCAACTCAGCTTGACACGATCTTGCCCCGCTCCTGGACCTGCATGCATGTGTGTTCTTCACATACGATGATGAATGAAACATAGCGAGCTCGTGACACATGTATATATGTATAGATCGATATCTGTATCCAATTACGAATGTGTATGTTGTGTGAGTACGTAAGTACGTACGTACGACTGTCTGTCTCTGTCTGTCTCTCTGTCTGTGTCTCTGTCTGTGTCTCTATCTGTGTCTGTGTCTGTGTCTCTGTCTCTGTCTCTGTCTGCCTGCCTGTCTGTCTGTCTGTCTGTCTGTCTGTCTCTCTTTCTGTCGTCGTCTGTATGTAAGTACGTCTGTATGTCTGTCTGTCTCTGTCTGTCTGTCTCTCTGTCTCTCTGTCTGTCGTCGTCTGCATGCAAGTATGTCTCTATGCGTGGAGGTTGGTATGTATGCATGTATGCATGCATGTATGTATGCATGTACGCGTCTACATGAACTTGTATATATATACATACATACATACATACATACATACATACATACATACACATGCACACATACACAAAAACAGGTGTACATATATATATATATGTTCATACTTACACACATACATGTAAATGTGCATGTAATGCATTAGATATGCACTTGTGTAGTTTTCGCTTTGGTATTTGTAGCACAACTCTCTCTCTATCTATATATACATACATATCTATATATACATATATATCACCAAAAAAGGTCCTTCAGTACTTGTTGGTCGATCTGATTCACGCCCGCAGGCATCTTAAACGAGTGGACGTCAGGTGTAGGCAGCCGGCTCCAAGGCCAAGGACCTCCAGGGAAGATTGGTCAATGTCAGCAGCTTCTATACAACCACGCAGGCTGGAGGCGGATGGAGAAGCTGCTCAGCCTGTGTCTCGGAGCGTCTTGAAGCAAGGCTGCTGCAGTGGCTCTACGACGCATAGTGTTGTGGGCAATGGCCCGCAACAAAATGAGCAGGCAAAGCCGCGGAGTTTATGGCTCCGACATGGCGGATCCGAGGACCCACTTGGCTGGTCCTGAGTCACGTCAGATGCGTCTCTGGTCACAGCCAATCGGAAGGCTTTGGTTCCCCCCTCGGTCAAGCTAGGAGGTCAGGACAAGCTGAAGCAGAGAGTGGGCGACGACTATGAGGACTCTGAAAGGGATACCGGAAAGCACCATCCGCCCGCAGCGAAGGCATTCGGCAGGAGTCACAAGCTCGCACCAAAAAATACGCGCACAACAACAGCAGCGGATATTGGTCATGTCGAGCACGATCATGATGCTCGGCACTGCGTAGGTCCTAAATCAGGAGCCGCGACGTGGAGGACATCTGCACCGCAGCAAAATTCGACTCTGGCTGCACCAAGTGCCGGCGACAAGAACTGAAACATCTTGGTCGTCAACCGGAAAATATACCAGCACGGGTTTTGAGCCAGCAAAGCAACGCGCAAGGGAGTGATGGCCGAGTACTTGGAGGATGTTGGCGACTGCCTGACATGAGCGTCTACCCGAGCACATGGGGGAAATCCTCAGCCAACCACACGACCTGTGCTTGAGGTATGGATATCCAGTCGTCCACAAGAGTCTGAAGCAACTGCATACAGCTCACAAGATGCAAGCATGGGCTTGGACGATCAAAGCTGTAATCCAAAAATTAATCCCTGGCGGCTCCCTTGTTGAGGGTTGAACGGGAGAAGGACGCTTGCCACAAAAACATGTCCAGGAAGGAATTGTGCATGTCCGGTTGGTTGTTGGCTGCAGGTTGCTCTGCAGGCCGATCTTTATCGCATTGGTCCGAGACATCTGCGCTGAATGACACGGCAGATGGTTGCGGTAAGGCATAACGGTTTCAGCGGATAAGAACTGCCTCATGCTTGCGACTTTGAAGGACACGTCGCTGGCGCTTTGCTCAGTGCCCTGTGGCTTCCTCGGCTCGTTTTCCGGAAGGTTGCATCGGCTTTACCTCTCGCGGCGTGTCTTGCCCATGCCTTTTCTGTATCTCGCTTCCTTCACACCGGCACGATCTGTGCTGAGGAAGAGAACGCCAGTTTCGAGACAGGGCTGCATCCGCTTTGAAGTCTGGACACGGAAGCGAATGTAAAGCATATCGCCCCACTGCATTGCATATACCCTTCGTGCATCTGGATTCACGGATAATAACAGGAGCTGCATCTCTAACCCCTGAAATTGAAAGCCCTTGACATTTAAAGCACATTTGGAGCGTGCTCCTGCTACCCCAAGCCCTTACATGCCCTTGCTACCGAAGAACGGCCTCCACCCACCGTGGCAAGTGACGCCGGGTCTCCTCGTGAGCTCATTCCACGTAGAATCGCTTGGGTTTCTGGGGTGGTATGCTCCTGACAGTCTAAGCAGCTCTTATGACATATGACATACTTTCTGGGCCAGTTGTGCTTATCCGGCGGGTCGCTCAGTTCCACGAGCATTCTATTTTGCTTCACGCACTGCGTGCGTCCTAGTCCGCAACATCTGAGAATTTGGCGCCGGTGAGCTTCCGATTTCATCGGGGCCTGTATTAGATCAATTCGTCGTATTGTTTCAGGAGTATAGCAATGTATAGCATTATGTATACACCTTCGCCCAGCCCATGTTGGGCACAGCTGCGCTCCCAGGCGCAGTGAGAATGAGGTGAAACAGACTTTGAAAACTCGCGGCCGCTCTAAACTGAGCTTGCCTGATGCGCAATTTGTACACACCCTCAGCAGCCTCTCTGCATGCTCGCGCATCCGTCGCTTATTGCTGCGATTCTGCTAGTCTTGGCTGTTGAAGACGAACAGCAATATGGCGTCTAGATAGTGTGACAATAGCGACTCTAATTAAGAATCCTAGCCTCCAACATCATGGAGAGCACGAAACTCTGCATACCCGCAACATTAACGTCGAGGCAACTACTTACAGGCTGACATACGATCGGCTCTTGACCCCACCAGTTTGCCGCATTCTAAACTGCCAATCATCCCGGCGTGCAGTCATCAAGGGACAGCTGGCGTCTGCTCTAACTCAGTCAGAAACACGCCTTCATCTGCAGACACCAGAATTCTGTGACCGCTCACCTTGGGCTGCAAGTGGAGCTTTGGACGATGCTTCTTCCCCAGGTTTTCATGGAGTTTTGAGCATTGAGTCTCCTTTCTCAGGGTGCCCCGTATGTCTTTTTGTCTCCCACCGCTTCGCTGTGGGGTCTTAAGGTTGCTGCACCTCCACACTCCTAACCTAACCTAACCTAACCTAGCCTACTTCGGGACACCCCATGAAATCATTGTGGATGCCCAGTTCCATCAGCATCAGAATTGAGGCAAGGTTTGTTCTTCTCGGTTTACTGGCCACATGCGACATGCAATGAGCCTGCAGGGAGATCCGTATTGGAGTTTGAATGAGACTGCCAACAGTGGACAATACATCCAACACTTGAGGACAGGCCTGGCGATGCCACGTGATAAACCCTCGAGGGTGTCATATATATGTTTTTGCAACATACAAGCGTCTGTTGTTCAGACCCTTTTCTTAGATGTCCTACTATTTTGATCCCTTTTTAATCCCTGCAAGGGGCAGGGGATTGATTCATCAGGTGCAACGGACATGTACACTATCACCAGAGCCATTACCGCCTCCCTCCAGCTACTGTCACCGCTACTGCTACTCTTGCTCCTGCTGCTGCTGCTGCTGCTGCTGCTGCTACTTCATCACGATTACCACCAACCTCCACACAACTGTTAGCTTCTGCTGCTGCCCCTACATGTTACCAAGTGCAGCCCGAGATCGGAGAGACAGTACGGGTACTCCATGAAGTAGTGAGCATCTGGGAAATGCCTGACAGCTACCACAGCCCTTGACTGTCGAAAATTAAAACATTTTCAGTTCCACACAGAAGCCGCCCTCTGCTCTCACCTGCACAGGCGCCCAAGGCCGTTTGCGATGCTTCAAGCAACGATTTTAACACCCTCTCCATCTCAGCAAAAACTTCCAACCGCAATTCAAGCAACACTTGTGCCATGCACCCTGGCCTTGAAAGTTACCTGCCTTGTAGTATAAGGGACCCCAAACAAAAACCAAGACTTCTCCCAAAGTGCCAACTAGGAAGTGTAAGGAACCCGAGTCCTTAACCTGGATGCCTGGCATGCAGGATGCTTACCCCTTAGTAGACTGCACAGTTTGCCATATATGTAATGTACTGTATGACACATCATATGGCCCCGTTGGGTTTAGGAATCCTTCATGTTCCCTAGTCACAGAAGCTGAGCTCTCTAGCGGCTCTAGACATGCCAACTTGCTGAATTCCGCAACCTTGTAACGTGATTCCAGCCGCGGTCGGCCGATGCTGACCCAAACTTCTGAGACGGATAAGCAACTGAACAATCGAAAAAGATAAGTGCGCGTGCATGTGCTGCTTTCTTTTTATAAGTCTACACATACACATACAAACAAGCAACCATTCGTGAATACGCACATACATACATACATACATACAGAAATGCATACATGTATACATGCACGCATGCATGCATGCATACATACATATGTATATATATATATACATACACGTATATATACACACACATATATATATATATCCATACATATACACATACAGACGGACGGACGGACGGACGGAAGCAACCACACACAGAGACACTTACCCTTCTGAAGGGAGAACTTAATCCATCTGAAACTTTGCAAGCGAGCAACACGGTTGTCATGCACTGCCCGGTCCGTCCGTTCCAAAGCTTCACTGAGGCCTTGTGCTGGGAAATTCTCAAGGTCGAAGCTTGAAAGCTCCGACTTAGCAGTGCCAAACTGCATGGTTCGGGCATGCGGGTTTTCCGACAGGTCCAGGCCCAAATCATGACCGAGGTGCAACTTTCTCGACATTCTGTTCAGAGTGAGAAAGGCAATCGCCCACTGACTAAAGCCCTTGCCACGGCGACTACTACTGTTGTAAGTTTCTAGAAGCATTACTGTACTGTCGCTGGATCACACACGCAGCTTGCAGAAAACCGGATAAACGTAAACTCTGAACCCTCAACGAAGGAGATAGAGGCCTTGGGACATAACTCTGCAACCTAAATCTTGCAGGGGCACATCCCGAGCCAAAGTCGCCAGGATCTCTGGGTCTTGCGTGTCGACTGCCACGATTTCCTGAGGAAAAAGAAACGGGTGTATGTTGTGATATAGATATAGGGACTACAAGAGGGCACCGGCTGCTGCTGCTGCTGCTACTACTTCTACTACTGCTACTGCTGCTACTGCTGCTACTGCTGCTACTCCTCCTCCTCCTCCTCCTACTACTACTACTACTACTACTACTACTACTTATTGTTAATTCTTCCGACCCCGACTTTTGCACAAGAAATAGACAAAGCACCAGCAAGCTTTGGATGGCCGATGCAAGATCTAGATTTGTTCAAGAAGCAACAAAGTCTGATGATGAAGTCTCCAAGTTGATTCTCAACTTTCCCCTAAGGACCCCATGATTTCGACTCAGTGTGCCGGTTCGCTGCTGTCACATCCATGTGGGCATCGACGGGAGCAGCTCGGAGCTTGAAAGCTTCGCAGATATGGGTAAGCATCCCATGTGGGGTCCATGTCTTCTTCGAGGGGCCCAGTACTGTCATGTCAGAAAATGGGTACCTAGAAGGCTGCGCTTTCGTGGGATACCACCGAAGTGCTATTCAATTTCCAGAGGAAGACTTCGCAACCTTTCCCCCAGCAAAAACGAAGCTACGACCTTTCCTACTCTACAACAGGACAACACGGCAACCCTGATAGTACACCTATACGTACCCTCATACTCTCCCAAACAGAACCCTGAAAGGAGCCCACAACAAAACCCAAGACCTTAAAAGTAGCCGGTGTAAGAAGGCCGAAGGAGCTGCCCGGTGTCCTGTGATAGTGGCTTTCAGCTCCTGATCTCAGAAAGTTCTGACGTCTACCCCCGTCAGAACGTGTCAGAAGACTACCGTGATAAGAGAACTCCACGACACCGAGTTGCTGCGACCCGAATTCTTCAACTGAAGTTGTTGCTGTCCTTGTCCCGATAGTCGTAGACCAGGAGAGAAGAGTCCACGGCGTATACCAGATACGAACCACACCACCTGGGGGCTTGAGTTTGTGAACTTCGTCAGCTTGGGACGCTCTTCCTCCCAAGCTGTAGTGACGTAGGTAGTAGCTTAGTAGCATCGGCCGAAACCGAAGCAAAGCAGCTCCAGGAGCTCTTGCGAACACTCACCGAAGCCAGTCTCCCTCATGCTCGCGAAAGTTTCGCGACATGTGTTTCATGTTGCTTTCATCATCTTCTTCATCAGCACCAGCATCACTCGAGCTTTCTCCCAAGACGAGAGAATCGAGTAACATCTGCGCATGCCAAGTGGCAAGCGGATGACGGAAGCCATGCTGGCTTTCGGCATTGCTTCAATCCTTAACGAGCACGCAACAAAAATGGAACCTGCCTCCGGTCTCGGCATCCCTTCCCGCAGGTACCCACGCATGTTTCTATGGAGCGTTCGACCTCCTAAACAACAAGGTCTGACTCCAGCGTTGCAGGGTAAACGGTGGTTTACTGGAGGAGAGTCTCAACTATATACACTCTTTCGAACCTGAACCCGCCAAAAGATGATCCGTCCAACCAGAGCCCAAACGCTAATCCGTCCCTCTCAGACGTGGAAGTCTTCGGGACCTGCTGCGGAATTTTGGAATGTGACTTAGTTTTGGTGTATGACTGAGCATCTCAGGGCCAGGGTCAGTTCTCGTACTCAAGGCATAACGTACCTTGCGGAGTGGCGGCTGCCTCAGGTATACACCTGCCAACGACTGCCACTGGCAAAGGTGTTGAGACCCAAAAACACGGCTCTAACTTCAGAGCAAAACAAAAGCCCTAAGACCGCCCAAATTTTGCATCCAGGCTTCTTGCAGTCTACCCTAAAACCTAAACCCTAAACCCTAAAACCCCAAAACCCCAAACCCTATACACTCTTGCAGCTGAGGTGCTCAAGGTGTTCGTTTCCTGGCGAGGGTGCGGTCGGAGAAAGAGTCACAAAGGCAAGCAAGCGATATGACAATGTGCACCTGAAGGGTTTTGGGGGTTATAAGGTATGTGTGTATAAAAATTTTATTTTTATTTATTCATAGATTTATTTTTCTATTGATTTGTTTATTTAATATTACTGATTGAGTTCTGAAGCTGTCTTCGGCGGTTTGCAAGTGACGTGCGACACGCGGCTGTACCAAGTCTGATCGGCAAATGTTGGTTGTCTACCTCACCCGTGACAGCTAATTACAGTGAGATTCTTGTGCAAGAGCCCACTGGACATGGACCCCCATAGCCACTATCTCAGCCCGGGTTGACAAAATTCAGCTTGAAGATTCAGAATATAATATAAGTAGGAACTGAACCCTGGACTCACGCAACTCGGAACTCCAGGCGAGGCTACGCTGGTCCGGTCGGGATAGTCACATTGAGCCATCCAGTGACCTTTCAGTCGATGTCTGGGCACGCAACTTGACCCTCAATCCTCGCTTGGTCAATCACCACTATAGCTACAACCGGGAAGAGCTTCCGGTTATGCTTTCAGGGTCGGCTGCCGGAGGATGCCTCCGGAATCGAGTCCAGCAGACGGTTGACATTCTGAACCAAGGCTCTTCGGCGACTGCGCTCCTCGCCCTTAAGGGCGAGGCTGTCCGCCGCTTGGAGGATCTTTGTGCCCTCGTCTTCTGCCGCCAGCTTTGGGAGATCGCTCTGCACATCCAGCTCCAGCCTCCGTAGACGCTCTTCCAGCTCCTCAAGGCCACTACGCTGGGGAGCCTCGTCCTTCTTCTTCTCCGCAGAGGTGTAGATGGCAAAGCCGCTGAGGCAAAGGACCAGGCCCATCAAAGACCTTGTGCCGAGCTCCTCTCCTTCGGAACCCTGCCGCGCAAAAAGCAGCTGGGCGAGCGGAAGGGCTGTCACCGCTGCAATGCTGCGGATTGTGGCGCCGGCCTGTTGTGTGAGCCTGAGGCAAAGGAAGGTCTGCAGAGAGTAGAAGCCGACGCTCATGAAGGTCGTCCCGGCGGCAGCAGGGCAGCCCAGGTCTCCAAAGCGAGGCTGCTGTCCACAGAAGCAGAGGAACCCATCACGGAGGTCTGCCCACAGGCCTCGGCTGTGTGACTGCACCCTCAGCGGAACGAGAAGCGCCAGGGCAATGCCCATAGGCACTCGCCTCCAAGCGATCGCTACACCCAGTGAGATCGCCTCATCGAACTCGTTCGTGCGCTGGCTGGTTGCGGGCCGTTGCAGGAGCGCCTCCTTGAGAAGAGTGGCAGATGCCACAGCCACCTGTGCGGCCGAAAAGATGAAGAGGCTTCGCAGGAGTAGCTGTGAAGCCGACACGGCCTCGCCATTGAGCTGCACGGCCGAGACGGCGCCGGCAAGAACTACTCCCGCACCAAGGAGCTGCCCTGATGAAAAGCGTCGGCCAAGCAGCACAGACAGGAGTATGGTCAGCGGCAGCACAGACTGGTTCATCAGCACCTGAACCTGGCCGGCAAGGTGAGTCGCACCCACACTGGCCAAGAGAGTTCCTAGCTGGTCCACGGCGGCCACGCGGAGCAGGGCCCGACGAGGGAACGCAGCCAACTGCAACGGTCTGGCACCTGTGGCATGCGCGACGGCGGACATGAAGAGTGCCCAAAGCAGGATGTCGAAGACGGACACGAAAACCGAGTAGTCATGCTGCTCAAAGCCTCCAATGCTGCGGTAGCAGTTGAGCATCCGCTTGAAATACAGCGAGTTGAGAGCGACAACCGTGGTCGTAACGAGAAAGAGGCATACTTGCATGGCGCCGCAGGCGGGGCAGTGCAGCTCTCAGGAAGTTCGGCTCTTAGGAAGACTGTGAAGCACAGCCATAGACCAGAAACGGGTAGGGGAATTCGTTGGCACTTTGATTTCGGGCTGATCCCTGCCATGTCGAGATCGGATAGCATCGCATGAGTCAGGGTATGTTAGGACTGTCAGAATGTCTTTCCGGAAGCTGCCGAGAATACTCAAGGTCGAGCCAAAGACTGACTTGAGCCGTAGGCAGAAGCAATGCCATCAGATTCTGATCTGGTGGTATTTTCGTTGTGGCCGTGCTTGCTCTGCAAAGCCTACCTTGGCTCAAGGTACATGTCTCGCTCTCGCACGACCCTGGTTAAGAACCGTAGGCCAACCTGAGTACCCTGAGGCGCGTTGGCGTGCGAGTGTAGTTACTGTAGTTGAAGTCGAGAACAGAACCCAAGGGGACCCTTCCCTCGCCGAACCGGGTTCCAGCATAGGGTTTAGGGGATTAGGGTTTAGGGTCTAGTGGTTGCTTTCATTGCGACATGTGTTCACACCATCGGAAACAGTGGCCATCTGCACCGTGGCGGAAGCCTGCTCCAAGAACAGTGGCCAAATCATGCGTTACCTCACTACACCTACTAAATCATCTTCACTGCACCTTTGCATACTACAGGGGTCGTAGCAGTAAGTATACTAGACTACTAGTGTGAAGGAATCGAGTACTGCAAATTTTACCTTAACCCTAAGCCTAAACCCTATATAAACCTCTGAACCTTAAAGGAGTATTGTAGTATTTTTACTAGTTTCACAGTACCTTGCTCTTCGTATCAGGAGCTCTGAAGCTCAAGATCCAAGGGGCTTTCCAGCTGCACAACGCGGAAAATCGGAGGCCCACTCCCGGCTGAGCGATCCACCTCAGGTAGGGTTTAGGGTTTAGGGTTTAGGGTTTAGGGGTCCTTTTCTTTTGCCTGCCCACCTAGCTAACCCCTATGGTACCCAGCCTAAACC